CCTCCATTCGTGCCTCTTCAAATTCTACAGCACTGCTGGTCACAGCTGACCTCCAGCTGGAGCACTCAAGACCCAGGGCTTCCCAGTTCTCAGTGTCTATACCAGAGTTTTGAAGGTTGGCTTTGAGCCCATCTTTCAATCTCTTTTCCTGCCCTCCAACATTCCATTTTCCATTCTTGAGTTCGGAGTAGAGTAACTGCTTTGGGAGACGGTGGTCGGGCATCCGGACAACGTGCTCGGTCCAGCGGAGTTGATGGCGGAGGATCATCGCTTCAATGCCGGTGCTCTTTGCGTCTTCCAGAATGCTGACGTTTGTCCGCCTGTCTTCCCAAGAGATTTGCAGGATTTTCCAGAGGCAGCGCTGATGGAATTGTTCCAGGAGTTGCATGTGACATCTGTAGACAGTCCACGTTTCGCAAGCGTATAGCAGGGTTGGGAGGACAATAGCTTTATAGACAAGCACCTTGGTCTCCCTACGGATGTCCCGTCCTCAAACACTCTCTGCTTCATTCGGGAAAATGCTGCACTCGCAGAGCTCAGGTGGTGTTGTATTTCGGTATCGATGTTGACTTTGGTGGGAGGGGGCTGCCAAGGAGCAGAAATGGGCAACATTTTCTAATGTTACACCATTAAGCTGTATCGCTGGCATTGGAGAGGGGTTGGCTAGTGACTGCTGGAAGAGCACTTTGGTTTTCTCGATGTGCAAAGACAGGCTGAGCTTCTTGTATGCTTCTGCAAAGGTGTTTAGAGTGGCTTGTTGATCTGCTTCTGAATGAGCACAGACGACGTTGTCATCAGCATACTGGAGTTCTATAACAGATGTTGTTGTGACCTTGGTTTTGGCTTTCAGTCTGCTGAGGTTAAATAGCTTGCCATCTGTCTGATAGATGATTTCCACTCCGGTGGGAAGCTTCCCATCAACAAGGTGAAGTATCATAGCGATGAAGATAGAGAATAAAGTTGGGGCAATAACACATCCCTGTTTGATTCCACCTTAAATGGGTCACTTTGGGAGCCATTGTTGTCCAAAACTGTTGCCATCATGTCATCACGGAGGAGCCGCAGGATGTTCCCAGCAGCTACTGAAATACAGTCAAAGAGCAGGCGTCTGGGAAGGAGTGGGTCATAAGTTTTAGTATTGAGTAGCAAATGGGATAAAAGGGGAAAGTGGGTGGTGGGGGGAGATTATTATTTTCATCACATTTGCTTCTCTGGTCAATTTTATTTAAGTTTGCCTTGAAAACTGGAAGAAGGCTGCCTAATCACATCAAAACCCTATGGCCAGAGCTTGCAAAGTTGTATATGGATCACTACTCCCAGATTTCCCAAGCCAGCAGAAATAAATATCCAGTTGTTGTTGTTGTCGTCGTTCATTCGTTCAGTCGCTTCCAACTCTTTGTGACTTCATGGACCAGTCCACGCCAGAGCTCCCTGTTGGTTGTCACCACCCCCAGCTCCTTCAAGGTCAATCCAGTCACTTCAGGGATGCCATCCATCCACTTTGCCCTTGGTCGACCCCTCTTCCTTTTTCCTTCCATTTTCCCCAGCATCATTCTCTTCTCTAAGCTTTCCTGTCTTCTCATGATGTGGCCAAAGGACTTCCTCTTGGCCTTGTCCTCGTGGGCAACAAGTTAAACATGAGCCAACAATGTGATGTGGCGGCAAAAAAAGCCAATGGGATTTTGGCCTGCATCAATAGGAGCACAGTGTCGAGATCTAGGGAAGTCATGCTCCCCATGCTCTATTCCGCTTTGGTTAGACCACACCTGGAATATTGTGTCCAATTCTGGGCACCACAATTGAAGAGAGATATTGACAAGCTGGAATGTGTCCAGAGGAGGGCGACTAAAATGATCACGGGTCTGGAGAACAAGCCCTATGAGGAGCGGCTTAAGGAGCTGGGCATGTTTAGCCTGAAGAAGAAAAGGCTGAGAGGGGATATGATAGCTATGTATAAATATGTGAGAGGAAGCCACAGGGAGGAGGGAGCAAGCTTGTTTTCTGCTTCCATGGAGACTAGGACGCAATGGAACAATGGCTTCAAACTACAAAAAAGGAGATTCCATCTGAACCTGAGGAAGTACTTCCTGACTGTGAGAACCGTTCAGCAGTGGAACTCTCTGCCCGGAGTGTGGTTGAAGCTCCTTCTTTGGAAGCTTTTAAACAGAGGCTGGATGGCCATCTGTCAGGGGTGATTTGAATGCAATATTCCTGCTGCTTGGCAGAATGGGGTTGGACTGGATGGCCCATGAGGTCTCTTCCAACTCTTTGATTCTATGATTTTCAAGCTTCTAAAGACTTTGTATAGGAAAATCCTTAGGGCCTCTCAGCTGAGGCACCCCGGCTTCCCGCTGGGCACAAAGAGCACGTCCCGTTCAAAAGCCAATTGCTATAGGCCCAGTGCGTGACAGCACAACCACCATGTCAGACTACACAAAGAAGCCATTGAAATCCACAAGAAGTGTGTGGACAATTTCAACAGAAAGGAGGAAACCATGAAAATGAACAAAATGTGCAATGTGAGTTGACACAACGCTGCATTTGCCTGGCTGAGAATATTCACCCAGCAGTTGGCATCATTGGCACAGTCATTTCTGTGGTTTCCTCCGATCATATTAAGTTGCCCTGTGATTTGCAGGGAAGGGTTTTATGGTAGCTCGGTGTGGCTGCCAACCGCAAGGGGCCACCGTGTGTGGCCTGACGGTTTTGCAAGCACTCGAAGCATCAGACAGCTTTCCCTTGACAAACAGGTATATAGGAGTGCAGTGCATTGTAGAAGGTCCACAGGGCTCTGAGGCTGGTTTAATGGCATCTCCATATTCCCCTCTCCCTGCCCTAGAATAGTACAATTTTCATGTCTATTTCATCAGTGGCGCAGTGGGTTAAACCCTTGTGCCGGCAGGACTGAAAACCAACAGGTCAGAGGTTCCAAACCAGGGAGAGAGAGGGTGAGCTCCCTCTGTCAGCTCTAGCTCCCCATGTGGGGACATGAGAGAAGCCTCCTACAAGGATTGTAAAACATCAAAACTTCCAGGCAACGTAGATCAATAGGTGCCGCCACTGCGGGAAGGTAACAGCGCTCCATATAGTCATGCTGGCCACATGACCTTGGAGGTGTCTATGGGCAATACTGGCTTAGAAATGGAGATGAGCACCAACCCCCAGAGTTGGACACAACTGGACTTAATGACAGGGGACAACCTTTACCTATGTGTAGGAGCCCCCGATGGCACAGTGGGTTAAACCCTTGTGCCAGCAGGACTGAAGACCGACAGGTCGCATGATCAAATCCAGGGAGAGTGCAGATGAGCTCCCTCTGTCAGCTCCAGCTTCCCATGTGGGGACATGAGAGAAGCCTCCCACAAGGATGGTAAAACATTAAAATGTCCAGGCAACGTCCCCTGGGCAACGTCCTTGCAGACGGCCAATTCTCTCACACCAGAAGCGACTTGCGGTTTCTTGAGGAGCTCTTGACACGAAAACAACAACAACAAAACACAACTATTTCTTTAAAAGCTGCAATCCTTTGCACATTTACCTGGGTGTATGAGGGCGCATCTACATTGTACAATTAATTGAGCCATGGCTCAATTATATGGAATCATGGGAACTGTAGTTTGACAACCTCTAAAGACTCTTCTGCCAAACACTACTGGTGTCTCGCAAAACTACAAATTCCACGATCCCATAGAATTGAGCCATAGCAGTTAAAGTGATCTTAAATTGCACTAATTCTACAGTGTTGATCTAGCACAAGCAAACTTGGGCCCTCCAGGTGTTTTGGACTTCAACTCCCACAATTCCTAACAGCCTACCGGCTGTTAGGAATTGTGGGAGTTGAAGTCCAAAACACCTGGAGGGCCCAAGTTTGCCCATATCTGGTGTAAATGCACCTCAAGCAGAAAACAAGTCTGATTCCATAGCTGGCATTCAGTACTGAAGGTATAGATTTCTAACAGAGTCCATATGCTTGGGCTTAAAAATTATAGGAGGATAGATTTTGGCAAAATCTTTTGGCCGTAAGAGATCGGTTTGGTCAGCTCCATTTGGTCAGGTTGGTCAGCTCCATTTTAATTGGGGGTTTGAAACAGAAATTGGACATAAGGATATAGTTATGCTGGATTTCCAGCAGTAAGCTGTGGGTTGGACTAGATGATCTCCAGGGATCCCATTCAGCTCAATTAATCAATGTTGCTTCTGTTGTAGTGAATTGACTACTAGTGTCTAGATCCAGGGAAGTCATGCTCCCCTCTATTATGTCTTGGTCAGACCACACCTGGAATCACACTGTGGTCGAGGGGAGAAAGGAAGGGGCCTAAGGCTGTTAGGAATTGTGGGAGTTGGAGTCCAAAACACCTGGAAGGCCAAAGCTTTCCCATTCCTGTTCTACAATATAGATGCACTTGGAGACAACTATACCGCTACCTATGCATGCCTACTTTGAAGCATGTCTTCAGTGATGCTCAGCCTGTCATTGAACATCGAGAAAACCAAAGTACTCTTCCAGCAGTCATCAACCAACCCATCTGCAAGGCCACAAATAGAGCTTAACGGTGTAACATTAGAAAATGACCATTTCTACTACCTTGTCAGCCACCTCTCCACAAAAGTCAACATTGACACTGAAATACAACACCGCTTGAGCTCTGCAAGTGCAGCATTTTTCTGAATGAAGCAGAGAGTGTTTGAGGACCGGGACATCCGTTGTTTATAAAGCTATTGTCCTACCAACCCTGCTATATGCCTGCGAAATGTGGACTGTCTACAGACATCAACACTGGAACTGAATTACAGCACCGCCTGAGCTCTGCGAGTACAGCTTTTTTCCAAATGAAGCAGAGAGTGTTGGAGGACCAGGACATCCGTAGGGAGACCAAGGTGCTTGTTTATAAAACTATTGTCCTACCAACCCTGCTATATGCCTGCAAAACATGGACTGTCAACAGACATCAACATTGAGACTGAATTACAGCACCGCCTGAGCTCTGCGAGTACAGCTTTTTTCCAAATGAAGCAGAGAGTGTTGGAGGACCRGGACATCCGTAGGGAGACCAAGGTGCTTGTTTATAAAACTATTGTCCTACCAACCCTGCTATATGCCTGCGAAACATGGACTGTCTACAGACATCAACATTGGGACTGAATTACAGCACCGCCTGAGCTCTGCGAGTACAGCTTTTTTCCAAATGAAGCACAGAGTGTTGGAGGACCGGGACATCCGTAGGGATACCAAGATGCTTGTTTATAAAGCTATTGTCCTACCAACCCTGCTATATGCCTGCAAAACATGGACTGTCAACAGACATCAACACTGAGACTGAATTACAACACCGCCTGAGCTCTGCAAGTACAACTTTTTAGGAATTGTGGGAGTTGGAGTCCAAAACACCTGGAGGCAGCATTTTTCCAAATGAAGCACAGAGTGTTAGAGGACCGGAACATCCATAGGGATACCAAGGTGCTTGTTTATAAAGCTATTGCCCTACCAACCCTGCTATATGCCTGTGAAACGTGGATTGTCTACAGACATCAACATTGAGACTGAAATACAACACCGCCTGAGCTCTGCGAGTACAGCTTTTTTCCAAATGAATCACAAATTGTTGGAGGACCGGGACATCTGTAGGGATACCAAAGTGCTTGTTTATAAAGCTATGCCTGTGAAATGTGGACTGTCTACAGACGTCACATGCAACTCCTGGAACGATTTCATCAGTGTTGCCTCAGAAAAATCCTGCAAATCTTTTGGGAAGACAGGCGGACAAATGTCTGCGTGCTGGAAGAAGCAAAGACCACCAGCATTGAAGCAATGGTCCTCCACTACCAACTCTGCTGGATCGGCCACGTTGTCCAGATGCCCGACCACCATCTCCCAAAGCAGTTGCTCTACTCCGAACTCAAGAATGGAAAACGGAATGTTGGTGGACAGGAAAAGAGATTTAAAGATGGGCTCAAAGCCAACCTAAAAAAACTCTGGCATAGACACTGAGAATTGGGAAGCCTGGCCCTTGAGTGCTCCAGCTGGAGGTCAGCTGTGACCAGCAGTGCTGTGGAATTTGAAGAGGAACGAATGGAGGGCAAAAGGGAGAAACATGCCAAGAGGAAAGCGTGTCAAGCCAACCCCGACCGGGACCACCTTCCACCTGGAAACCGATGCCCTCACTGTGGGAGAAGATGCGGATCAAGAATTGGGCTCCACAGTCACCTATGGACCCACCGCCAGGACACTGATCTTGGAAGGCAATCCTATTTGGACAACGAGGGATCGCCTAAATAAGTAAGTAAGGAAGAAGTATGTCTTCAGTTATGCTTGCTCACAGCTAAGTGGTATAAACACTTTGAGCCTTGACATTCATGTGGCTCTTCCCCATTTCATTTGCCGTGTTTTCTCCCATCTGCAACAACCCTGTCAGGTAGATCACTCCTATTGCACATAAAGTGCTAGAGACACCTTGAAACATCAGTGTCGTCTTAATTGGAGCCACTTCTGTCCGAATTAAGAACCGTGCAGGCAGCTGGGGGGGAAACAAGCCAGACAGATTCCTGAAATGCTAAACAACATTGCCGAACACTTACTGCCCCAACTTGCAAACAATTAGTAGCCATCGTCTTTCTGCCTCATTAGCAGGGAGAATTCATGGCTGAGAGGTTCTGGATGGCAACAGACTCGTCTTTCCAAGTACCCTCTTAACACAAGGAGACTGTGTTGTGGAAGGCTTTCATGGCTGGAATCACTGGATTACTGTTGGAAACTAGGCAAGTGGGGTTTATATATCTATGGAATAATGTCCAGGGTGGGAGAAAGAACTCTTGTCTGCCTAGGGAAAGGGTAAATGTTGCAATTGGCCACTTTGATTCACATTGAATAGCCTTGCAGCTTCAAAGTTTGGCTGCTTCCTGCCTGGGAATCTTATTTGAGAACAAGACCAAGGTGCTTGTTTATAAAGCTGTTGTCCTCCCAACCCTGCTATATGCCTGCGAAACATGGACTGTCTACAGACGTCACATGCAACTCCTGGAATGATTCCATCAGCATTGCCACTGAAAAATCCTGCAAATCTCTTGAGAAGACAAGTGGTGGAAGAAGCAAAGACCATCAGCACTGAAGTGATGGTCCTCCGCCATGAACTGGACTGGCCATGTTGTCCAGATGCCCGACCACCATCTCCCAAAGCAGTTGCTCTACTATGAACTCAAGAACGGAAAATGGAACGCTGGTGGACAGGAAAAGAGATTGAAAGATGGGCTCAAAGCCAACTTTAAAAGCTGTGGCATAGACAATGAGATCAAGCCAACTCTGACCAGGACCACCTTCCACCTGGAAACCAATGTCCTCGCTACGGGAAAACATGTGGATCAAGAATAGGGCTCCACAGCCACCTACAGACCCACCGCCAAGACACTACACTTGGAGGACCGTCATCCTCGGGCTATGAGGGATCACTTCAGAAAAGATCTGGAAATGTTTTGTTTCTATCCCTCTTGATCCGCTGGGCAGTAGCAGCCAATAGTGAAAGGACCAAGGCAGTGACATCTCCAGCTCATCCCTTGTTTGGGTATCAGCCAGCACATCAACGACTTAAATCAAGACATAGTTTTCTAAGATCTACAGAGACACTTGCTGGAACACCTCAGCAAGCGAGAGTCCAAAAGTGGCAGGCTCAAACCAAGACCCTCAACCAATGGCTGATACCAAATGAGAGACTCCCCCCTGGGCACACAGAGGACTGGGCGACTTGGAAGGTGCTGAACAGACTGCGCTCTGGCACCACAAGATGCAGAGCCAACCTTAAGAAATGGGGCTACAAATTGGAGGAGGTGGGGTTCACAGATTCTTTTTGCACGGTCTGCCAAGGCTTTAATGGTGCTTCTTTTTTGACTTGGGTGATGGTTGGAGTTTTTGTGTAGATATGTATCTGTGTGGGTTTTCTGTAGTCTACATAGGGACCACCAAACGCAGCGCCCAAACACGAATCAAGGAACATGAAAGGCACTGCAGACTACTTCAACCAGAGAAGTCAGCCATAGCAGAGCACCTGATGAACCAACCTGGACACAGCATATTATTTGAGAACACAGAAATGCTGGACCACTCCAACAACCACCATGTCAGACTACACAGAGAAGCCATTGAAATCCACAAGCATGTGGACAATTTCAACAGAAAGGAGGAAACCATGAAAATGAACAAAATCTGGCTACCAGTATTAAAAAACTCCTAAAATTAAAACAGCAAAACAGCAGAGAGGAAACAACCAGGCACATCTTAACACCTCTCAACAAAAGATTTTCCCAGGCTCAGCCAGGCCTTCAAATGCTAATGAAGGTGGTCAGTTGAAACATTCACACCTAGCTCCAGCAGAGAAGAGCTCTTTGCCCCACCCCAGTCATTCCACAGATATATAAACCCATTTTCCTAATTCCAACAGACCTCACTACCTCTGAGGATGCTTGCCATAGATGCAGGCAAAACGTCAGGAGAAATGCCTCTAGAACATGGTCATATAGCCCGAAAAAACACACAAGAACCTAAATAAATCCCTCTTGGTCTGCCTTTCAAAAAGACCCAAAGCAGTGACACCAAGGACTGAGCTGGGCATTTTGTGTGGGCAAAGTGTGCACTCCACTGAGTCCAGAAAAAAAAGGAGGATTTACCGGTATCCATCCTCTGCCTTTCCCTCCAAGTCGGTATCAGAGTCCACAAAAAGTAATGAGAACTATATCTCAAAAGGAGGATAGATATGACACATTCTTCCCACCGTGACCTGCCATGAGTAGCCTCACCAATAAGTATAGTCAAATATTTTTAATGGTTGCCCTTACCTAGTAGCAGTGGGCAGGACCCTCGGAGAGGAGCGGCTATCCTTGCGTAAAGTGCTTCTCCTGGACTGAGCTGTGGAGCAGTTGTGGGCTGCTTCTTGTTCTGGCACATTTCAGAGTTCTCCTCCAAAACCCCTCCCAGGGCCCACCCCTTCCAAAACTCAACCAACAGGCAACTCGGATGCAATGGGTGATATCATGCAGATGTTGCTTTCTTTCCCCCCCTTTCCCACCCCCAGTAATCCGAGAGCTGCCTTTTGGCATTCCTGGAGCACTTCTGCTTGGAAGCCATAGAGAAGAGGAGTGGGGTGGGGGGGACGGGACTGCTTTCTAGGAAAACTGTGCAGACAAACCAGCAGGGAGTGTGTCCTGCTAAGGAGGCCAAATCCTTGAAGATATCTCTCTTGTACAAGGCAATGAGGACACCATTAAAGCAAAGACCTCCATACCACACATACAGTCAAGGGATGTTCATATTTCACAGATGCAACCATCTATGTCAGTGCTTCTCAACCTTCCTAGTGCCGCGACCCCTTAACACAGTTCCTCATGTTGTGGTGACCCCCAACCAGCAAATTATTTTCATGACAACTTCACAACTGTAATTTTGCTACTGTTATGAAGCATAATGTAAATATCTGATATGCAGGATGTATTTTCATTCACTGGACCCAATACACCCAAATTTGAACACTGGTGGCGTTGGGTGGGGGATTGATTTTGTCATTTGGGAGTTGTAGTTGCTGGGATTTATATTTCACCTACAATCAAAGAGCATTCTGAACTCCACCAATTTTTTTTTTTTTGGGGGGGTCATGAAAATCAATATGCCCAAATGTGAACTCTGCTGGAGTTCGGGGAAAATAGACCTTGACATTGGGAGTTGTAATTATTGGAATGTATATTTCACCTACAATCAAAGAGCATTCCAAACTCCACCATTTTTTTTTTGGGTCGTGTCAGGAGCGACTTGAGAAACTGCAAGTCGCTTCTGGTGTGAGAGAATTGGCCGTCTGCAAGGATGTTGCCGAGGGGACACCCAGATGATTCCACCAATGATGGAATTGAACCAAACTTGGCACACAGAATTCCCATTACCAACAGAAAATACTGGAAGGGTGTGATGAGCACTGACCTTGAGTTTTGGAGTTGTAGTTCACCTACATCCAGAGAGCACTGTGGACTCAAACAATGATGGATCTGGACCAAACTTGGCACAAATACTCAATATGCCCAAATGTGAACACTGGTGGAGTTTGGGGGAAAATAGACCTTGACATTTGGGAGTTGTAGTTGCTGGTATTTATAGTTCACCTACAATCAAAGAGCATTCTGAACTTTTTGTGAGTGTGTGTGTGTTTGTCAGGAGCAACTTGAGAAACTGCAAGTTGCTTCTGGTGTGAGAGAATTGGCCGTCTGCAAGGACGTTGCCCAGGGGACGCCCAGATGGTTTTGATGATTGGGTTAAAGCCCTGTGCTGGCAGGACTGAAGACCGACAGGTCACAGGTTCGAATCTGGGGAGAGGCGGATGAGCTCCCTCTATCAGCTCCAGCTCCTCATGCGGGGACATGAGAGAAGCCTCCCACAAGGATGATAAAAACATCAAATCATCCGGGAGTCCCCTGGGCAACATCCTTACAGACGGCCAATTCTCTCACAACAGGAGTGACTTGCAATTTCTCAGGTCGCTCCTGACATGACAAAAAAAACCCAAAACCAGATGATTCCACCAATGATGGAATTGAACCAAACTTGGCACACAGAATTCCCATTACCAACATAAAATACTGGAAGGGTGTGATGGGCACTGACCTTGAGTTTTGGAGTTGTAGCTCACCTGCATCCCAAGAGCACTGTGGACTCAAACAATAATTGGTCTGGACCAAATTTGACATGAAAATCAATATGCCCAAATGTGAACTCTGCTGGAGTTCAGGGAAAATAGACTTTCACATTGGGAGTTGTACTTATTGGGATTTGTAGTTAACCTACAGTCAAAGAGCATTCTGAATCCCACCAAGGTTAGAATTGGGCCAAACTTTCCACACAGAACCCTTCATGACCAACAGAAAATACTGTGTCTTTGGCGACCCCTCTGACACCCCCTCTGACACCCCCTCGCGACCCCTCCAGGGGTCCCAACCCCCAGGTTGAGAAACGCTGATCTATGTCAATGGTTCTCAACCTGTGGATCCCCAGATGTTTTGGCCTACGACTCCCAGAAATCCCAGCCAGTTTACCAGCTGTTAGAATTTCTGGGAGTTGAAGGTCAAAACATCTGGGGACCCACAAGTTGAGAACCACTGATCTACACCTTGGACCATATATCAAACGGACAATGTATTGGGAATCTCACATCAGAACAACATATTTTATGTGTGGCCAAGACCCAAAAATAACATATAAAACAGCTCTGTACTTAAGCAAAACAATACGTCTGAGAACCACATATGTAGGGCTGATTGGGGTAAATTTTATCATGTCTTATCATATTTATTTACTGTATCGGTTATAAGTGTCTTATTTTAACTTTCTACGTGGAGTGTGATCGGGTCTTGTCAGGCCTTGTTGTTCTGTTTCTTATTGTGATATGGCCTAAGGGCTAAACAATAAAATTACTACTACCACTGATCTATGTCATGGATCCAGTAACATGGAAACAGGTAGACTGAACTCCACTGTATGCCTGGTTTTTGTTTTGTGTATTTTGATATGTATTTTATGGAGATATATGTGTGTATTGTTACAGAGTGTTTTCAAATGATTATATGTTTGTTTACATTTTGGTAATGTTTGTGTTTATGTTTTAGTAATGCTGTAACCCGCCTCGAGCTGTGGGGAAAGCAAGAAATAGAATTATTATTATTATTATTATTATTATTATTATTATTTGAAACACAACAAGATGAGTCCACAGCAGACACTCTCTGGCTATTGTATTGGCTCACACATTGGACACTTCCCAAGTGTCTAGGACTGTGTGATATGTTTTTAAATTATTATTATTATTAATAATTATTAATTATTATTATTATTATTATTATTAGAAACACAACAAGATGAGTCCACAGCAGAGACTCTCTGGCTGTTGTACTGGCTCACACACTGAACACTTCCCAAGTGTCTAGGACTGTGTGATGTATGGGCGAATAATGTGTACAGATCCCAGTAAGGTGGCCTTATGCAGCTGGCAGATGGTCATCTTGTCAGCACTGATTGTGTTTAAGTGCAGGCCAGTGTCTTTAGGCACTGCACCCTTGACTGGCTCATGCCACAGTCTTTGCAGTTCGATCTTTAAATCCTCACATTGTGCCAGCTTTTCCAGTTGTTTCTCTTAAATCCTGCTATCGCCTGGGATTGCAACATCCACAATCCATACTTTGCTTTTTAACATGATCGTGAGGTCATGAGTATTGTGCTCCAAAACCCTTGTCAGTCTGAATTTGAAAGTCCCAGAGGAGTTTGGCATGTTCATTCTCTGTAACTTTTTCTGGCTTGTGATCCCAACACTTCTTTGTCGCAGGCAGATGGGATTTGTGGCACAATTTCCAAGGAATCATCTGAGCAACGGTGTTGTGCCTCTGCTTGTAGTCCGTCTGCGCCATCTTCTTGCAGCAGCTGAGGATATGATCTATTGTTTCATCTGCTTCCTTACAGAGTCTACATTTGGGATCTGTTGCTGACTTTTCAATTCTGGCTTGGATGGCATTGGTTTGAATAGCTTGTTCTTGGGTTGCCAGAATCAGGTCCTCCGTCTAGTTTTTCAATGTTTCATTTGTGACCCACAGCCATGTGTTTTCTTTGTCCATTTTGCTGTCAATTTTTCCCAGGAACTGTCCATGGAAAATCTTCTTTTGCCAGTTTTCTCTTCTTCTCTGGATTGTGTTTTTACGGTATTCCTTGTTTGTTTTTTTGTACTTGAAGCAATTTACTACTATTGACTTCCCTCAGTGTTGGTTCTTGATTGCCTTTCACATAATCTGCCAGTGCGTTGTTGTTGTTGTTGTTGTTGTTGTTGAAGCAAAGAAAGTCCATAAAGTAAACCTTGATTTTGTCATTTTATACAAGGGGCTTACTATGCCACTGTATATAATGGGACTTGAACATTTCCAAATTTTACTATTTATATAGGATCCTAGAGCCAAATCCCAGTGGCTGCGAAAATAACCACTGTACTTTCAGCTGATTTCTAAAGCAACTTTGTCTCCTTTTTCCCAGTCAACTTGCCAAAGATTGGCATGTCAAGTACGGCAATTTAAGAAGTAAAGAAGGTGAAAAGGAAAGAAAGACATTTCCAGAATCCCCCAACCAACACGGCTCTTGGATTCTGGGAATTGCTCTCCCATCAAAGGTTATCATGATCTGATTAAAACAACGTCATTCCCAAGAGCGGCCAAAAAGGCAGCCAAAAGAAGCAAAGAAAGAACTGAAAACAAACAGAGGAACAATAGACGGCACGACATACGACAGAAAAGGTCTTTGCTTGGCGTTGTAACAACGTCAAAGTCATTTCATCAGAGAAACCTACACCAAAAGGCCTCCTCTGCTGTGATTAGCTGGCCCTTCAGCCAAGGGGAAGGCTATTTCCAAGACTCAAAGCAGGGGAGGGGAGAGCAGGTGTGTTTGGCGCATGGCAACATGGTGCGCATGTGTGGGCAAGGGAGAGCATGTGAGGCTGGAGGGAGGCTCGCGCCAGGAAGTCCCTTCAAGTCATGCAGGTTCTGTGTGCAAAGTGTGGCCCAATTCTATCCTTGGTGGGGTTCAGAATGCCCTGATTATAGGTGAACTATAAATCCCAGCAACTGCAACTCTCAACTGTCAAGGTATATTTTCCCCAAACTAAACCAGTGTTCTCATTTGGGCATATTGAGTATTTGTGCCAAGTTTGGTTTAGCTCTACCATTGTTTGATTCCATAGTACTCCCTGGATGTAGGTGAACTACAACTCCCAAACTTAAGGTCAAGGCCTACCAAACCCAGTATTTTCTGTTGGCCATGGGAGTTCTGTGTGTCAAGTTTAGTTCAATTCACTCGGTGGAGTTCAGAATGCTCTTTGATCGCAGGTGAACTATACATCCCATC